ATTAAATCTCAAAGGAAAATTATTTATTTTTAATTCTTTGCCAATGAGTTCTCAAGGTAAATGGTATTAGTTTTATTAGGACCTTGGACAATCATATTTGAACTAGAGTTACCTTCCGAAACTCATGAGTTTAGAACTATTCAAAATCTAAACTGGTTTAGAAAATGGGCCTGAATTCCTAAACTGTTCGAAACTCCTAAACTGTTTTCAAAACTCCTAAACTGTTTTTGAAACTCCTAAACTGTTTTGAAACTCCTAAACTAGAGTTGTTAGTCGAAACGTTTTGAGCTTTGTCGAAACATTTTGTCATTCGACATTTAGGCATGTTGAAAGTCTAAATTGATGTTGAAAGTCTAAAGTGATATTGAAAGTCTAAAGTGATGTTGAAAGTCTAAATTGATGTCGAAAGTCTAAATACTTGTTGAAAGTCTAAATACTTGTTGAAAGTCTAAATTGATGTCGAAAGTCTAAATAATGTCAAAATGCCTAAATGTTGTCAAAATGCTTTAAATTATACCCTTTTCAGGCATTGATTGACAGTGCAGTTCAATTATTTAAACAATATCAAAAATATTTAACAATATATCATTATTTTTAGGGAATTGTTAATCGCACCCCCCATTTTTGTTATTCACACCCCCACGTGACTAAGTGTAGTAATGTGACCAATGAATGGCTTGACCAAATAAATTGTTTAGCAAATGGCTTGACCAAATAAATTGTTTAGCAAATGGCTTGACCAAATAAATTGTTTAGCAAATGGCTTGACCAAATAAATTGTTTAGCAAACGGCTTGATCAAATAAATCGATTAGTAAACGGCTTGACCAAATAAATTGTTTAGCAAACGGCTTGACCAAATAAATTGTTTAACAAACGGCTTGATCAAATAAATCGATTAGTAAACGGCTTGACCAAATAAATTGTTTAGCAAATGGCTTGATCAAATAAATCACTTAATAAATGGCTTGACCAAATAAATTGTTTAGCAAACAGCTTGACCAAATAAATCGATTAGTAAACGGCTTGACCAAAATAAATCGCACAGCAAATGGCTTGACTGTTTGATTCATTTAAAAACTTGAAGAAATCAACTTTGTATTTTTGTACTTTGCATTTTTGTACTTTGCATTTTGTTTCAATAAAAATTCGTAATATGCTTCCACCTCCAATTGACCAATTTTCAAGTTATGATGAACTCCTTGCTCATGTTCGAGCCTTTGTTTTAACTCAAGGATATGCTGTAACCATAAAAAGAACTCGAACTGATGTAAATGGCAAAGTCAAGAATGTGACATTGCATTGCGACAGAGGTGGCTCTTATAGAAATAGTTTGAACCTGACAGATGATTTACGTCATAGGCAGACAGCATCAAGACTTTTGGATTGTCCATTTGAGCTCCATGGGACCAGACACAATGGTGTTTGGTTCGCAATTCTGAGCATAATCACAAAGCATCAGAGGATATGTCTGGTCATCCAATCACTCGCAGGTTGAACACTGAGCAACGAGAGCTAGTTCAGCAAATGTCTGCTGCTGGATCCCATCCTTGTGAAATTTTGTCAACCATTCATCAGAGTGATCTTTCTTCTATGGCCACATCTAGAACAATCTACAATACTTTGCATTCCATTCGTGAAGAAAGACTTGATGGTCGTACACCAATTCAAGCTCTTTTTGACAAATTACAAGAATCTGACTTCGAATTTGATTATCAACATGACCATCAAAATCACATCACACACCTTTTTTTTGCACACAGGATATCCATTGCCTTGACTCGTACCTATCCTGTTGTATTACTTTTGGATTGTACATACAAAACAAACAGATATCATATGCCTCTTCTAAATGTTGTTGGAATGACAAGCTTTAACACAACATTCTTTTCCTGCTTTGCCTTCCTGAAAGATGAAAAAGAAGCAGATTATGAATGGGCCTTGACTTGCATTTCAAAGATCTTTAATGGAATGTCTCATCCTAAAGTCATTGTCACTGATCGAGAATTAGCACTGATGAATGCCATTGGTAGAATCTTTCCTGGTGCTCATCATCTTCTATGTATTTGGCACATAAACAAGAACATTTTAGCTAAATGTAAACGTCACTTTGCTACAGAAGAAGATTGGACCGAGTTCATTGAATTGTGGAAGGCAGTTACAGCATCTATCACTGAACAAGACTTCACAACCAAATGGAAGGAATTTTTAGAATGCTATGCGAGTAAGCCCAACGTCCTGCAGTATCTTCAAGAAACCTGGATCCTACATAAAGAATGCTTCATTTCTGCCTGGGTTGATCATTACTTGCATCTTGGTAACAAAGCAACTTCACGAGTAGAAGGTGCACATGCTACTCTTAAAAAGTATTTGCAGTCATCCAGAGGTGATCTTGAGTCAGTACATCGTAAGATCATATTGGAAGTAGAGTCTCAAGCAAAGGAAATCCGTGCAATGATCTCTTCTGAACGTCTAAAAGTACAACATGTGTACCGTATAGCTCTGTTTGAACCTCTCTTGAGTCGTGTATCTGTTTTTGCCTTGAAAAAGATCCATGATGAGTGGATCAAGGCATCAAATGCAACACTAGAGTCTCCCTTGAATCCTTGCTCAGGGATCCTTAGCTCCACGATGGGTCTTCCATGTTCACATCTCATCAGTGAACGTATAGCAAACGGCCAAACATTGCAGCAAACTGATATCCATGAACACTGGTGGATCAAAGGTCGCCATTTTGAATTCTTACACGTCCTGCCAATGGTGACCATGCTAATCTTCAGCTTCTTTTACAATCTTTTGCACAACAATACCAATTCTGGCCACCACACCAACAAGCTGCTGCTCATACCCAGTTGGAAGAATTGTCTTCTGCTCCTCCTGATGTACTTGGAAACCCTGAAGTTAGTAGGCCACGAGGAAGACCAGTTGGAGCAAGAAACCAAAGTGAAGGATCAATGCAGAGAGATCCATCTGCATTTGAGCTTGTTGAAAGAAGGCCAAGGCAATGTGGTATATGTCATCAAACTGGTCATAATAGCCGAACATGTCCTACTGTGTAAATAAATTTGTAAAAATAATTTTTTTTTTAGTAATGTAATAATAATAATAAATAAAAATGGTTTTTTTGAATTAAAATGTGTGACGTTTTTATTGGCTTATCTTTGTTCTTAGTCACGTGGGGGTGCGAATAACAAAAATGGGGGGCGCGATTAACAATTCCCTATTTTTATTTATTAAAAAAAATTTTTTATGGTATAAAATTAAAAAAATTAAACACAAATTTTATATGTTTCTATTCATTCTGTAAACTTTGTACAAATGCTGCTCCAAATTCATCTTCATCAAATTCATTATCTTCATTATTGCTATCTGTGTCATTATCATCATTATCATCATTTTCCTCACTATTTGAATCCTTATCTTCATTGCCAAATTCAGGATTAGTTAAATCCATTAAATCATCTAACAATAATTGTTGATCTTCATATTCAATATTAGAATCATCAGGTAGGTCAACAAATTCTTCTAAATCATCATTAGTTTCAGCTACCAAAGCAGCTTCTTGAAAAACACCCAACAATTCTTCTTCTGTCAAATCTACACCATAATATTGCAATTCTTGTTTTGCATTTGAAATCAAAAAGCTATTTATTTTTACCATGGATTCTAAATGTGATGATGTTAATTGAGTTCGACGTTCTCCCTGAAACCACCCACAACATGACCAAATATGTTCGCAGCTAGCAGAATGTGGACGGACAGAAAATAATTTAATTGCTAAAGTTGAAAGAACACCTGGATTATGTTTAGTTCCATCCCCACAAGTTTTCCACCAACGTAAAGGAGTATCAATATTTGTAACATAAGTTTCATTGTATGGTGTTTCATTACAAGCATATTGACGCAATTGTGCTTTAAGTAAATCAAGTTTGGTTCTATTTTTACTTCCCATTTTTATCCATAAACGACCTGCAATACTAGCTATTCAAGCAAATTGAGATGATTTAATTCCAGCACCTAAAATAATAATAAAATTTTAAAAAGAATTAAAAAAATAAAATATAAAAATTATATATTTAAAACAAACCTCGGTACTGTGGATGCAAATAATATGCTAAGAGATATTCATCATAATCAAAAACTTTAAATCGATTATTGAATATTGTAACACATGCACGATGAAACATTAAATGCTGGTCTTGAGGAATTGATTTAATTGCAGCAGCTAATTTAACATATCCTAGATAACAATCTGCTAAATTTGTTGTTTTAGCTTCAAGAGATATAATAGCTTCCTTAATTGGTTTAAGGACTTGAGCAAGATCAAAAACATCATTAAAGAATCCATGTGATTTTAAAATATTTTTGACAGATTTTCCTGATTTACTAATAAATAAGTTTGGATTTTGTTCTAAAATCTAAAAAATAATAGATTTTATAAAAAAATAATTTTTTGAAATTAATTTATTAATTTAAAATTTTCATATAATTTTACAGCATGGTGGACATTCGAATGTTGCACCAATTTTTTATGCCGTGTAACGTAATTTTTAAAGTAAAAAAACAGTGTGCTCAATTAAAATGGGTATACGTTGACGCGTGACACGTCTGTAACTTTACAGAGATATTCTTTAACGTTTTTTAAATTTAATTCCAGCTGCATCCGTCGGCATCCGCAATTTTGACATACTTTACTTAGTACCAACATTTCCAATATGGTATTACACGGCAGATGTGTAGTTTGCAACGAAATTAGAGTAAACTCAAAGTATAGAAAAATTACAGAATCAAGTAAAAATAAAGCAGAAGCTGGGGGATATAATAATTTAAGTGTTGATGATTTAATTTGTAATATATGTTATAATAGATGTATCAATTATGATTCTCATATTAAACCTAATAAAAAATCTAATGATGATAATTTATTTAAAACAAATGTACAAAGTTCTTCATCTTCAAAATTAGTAGAATTAGAAGCACATGTTAAAGAACTCCAACAACATATAACAATATTATCAGCTGAATTGGAGAATATAACAAGGCCTGTTGATACAAACAATTTAATTGGTATTTTTTTTTTTTATAATTCTTTTGGATTTATAATTTATAAAATAAGTTAATTTATATCATATCATTAATGATGGTTAAAGATATTTAGAATTGCAATTTTTGAGATTAATTATTAATTATTTTTATTTTTATTCATAGATATTGTTGAATTTTCTAAATATTTTAATTCTCAAATTAAAAG